GCAGAATCAATATCCTCACATCACAGCATTAACTCATGAGATGATGAACAAAATGTTCTGGAAGTCAACAAATTTACTGCACTTTCATCCCCTTGCAAGAAATTCCATATGAATTAACTTCCTTTTATTTTACAAAAAGAGGAAATACTACTTGTTTTCAGGTCCTGGGTCTGAAAATCAAACCACGTAAAATCGTGTGGGACAATATCAGGATGATGCAGAAAAGTTTCAGCTATTTCTGTCGTGTCACAGACCTCACTCTGCCCAACTCTTCACCTCAAGTCACTGCAATTGCTGCTATTCTATCAAACACACACACGTATCTATATGTATATCAATGTATGTGTATATGTGCATGTACACATATATATATGTCCACCAGCTACCATTTCTCTAGCGGAGAATGAACTAAAGACCTTCCATCTCCAAAAACGAGGTCTGCTTGAGTTAAAAGAAAAAAAATAAAAATAAAAAAAAAATGCAATGGTTAGAGCAAACCACTAGGGGAAACATAGTCACATGCATTAAGCCGCTATCCATGACAAGAGATGTGAAATGTGAATGATACATGTAATCCTGAGAAAGCTGGTTCCAAGGTAACATCAAATGAAAGGCCTGAGAATTCAGCTTTGATGTTCCAAACCAAAACCAAACCAAAAAACAAACAAGCAAGTAACACTTTATATTGCATTATTTGTCCACTAGTTATTGATCACCTGTGTGCCAATTAGTGCAAAAAAGAGGCTTCTCTTTCAAACTCAGCACTGCTGTATGATTGGGATTTTTTTTTTTTTTGTCTTATTATTCTTGTTTGGGTTTTGGAGTTTTGTGTTTCGGTTTGTTTTGGTTTTCGGGGGTTTTTTGTTTGGTTGCTTTTTGGTTTTTGGCTTTGTTTTTGTTTTTTTTTTTGCATAAGACACTGATGCCTTACCATTTTGCACACGCAACTGGATTTGTGAATAAAAATAGGTTCACTGTTTTCATATCTGTCTTTGGGACTTCTCACTGTATCAACTGTATACACCTGTACTTGCAAACTGGCATATAAATAGCCAATTGCACTACTGACTGATTTTAAAATGGTATTATGAACTTTCCAGTTTAAACACTATTTACATACTCAATATAAATACTGATAGATAACCTAACAGCCCTTTAACTATGTACAGGCTTGCACAAAGAGTTCTTCGCCCATTTTTTACTTTGCTATGTAGGAGGAAGTGATTTTTCTCTTTCCGCAGTGAATGACATTAAGATCGTGCCCTCTTCCCCAGGTAACCCGTGGATTTCCAGCCTGCGGACAGGCACACCTCCTACGATGCCCAGGTCAGTGCTCGGTGCATTCGCGCTGCTGGGTGCCCCCTACCGTGAGGGAAGCCCAAGGCAAGGCCTGCGGGCTTCCTCCCGCCTTTCCCCTGCCACAGCTGGAGCTACCCTCCTCGGCAGAGCCTCTGGGGTCAACCCCCGTAGCCCTGCCGCCGCCGCGCTCCCTCTGGCGGGCAGAGCGGCCTCGCCGCCTTCGCCTCCATTCCCCGGCAGCCCCGAAGGGAACCCAGCCCCGCGGGGCTGCGGCTCCAGCCGTCGGGCTGCCCTGCCCCGGGCCCTGACGGGCGTTTCGCTCCGTCTGCACGTCCAGAAGGGAGAAGTGGATGGGAAGGGGATGGTGCCAGGGCCCCAACACCGTCCCCTCCGAGGCGGCAGAGGTTTTGTGCATGCTTATGGAGAGAGGTGGCCTTTGGGAAGGGGAAAAAGACCCGTGTAACTCAGGCTAACCCTACTGTCAGGCAACTGCGGAAAATAATCTGCAGGTTCAGAATATTATCGTGAAAGAATAAGTATATGCCTGTAAGAACGCGAAAACCCTAGGGCTGCCAGTGTAAGGCACTGCCCTTTTTATTTCCAAGTTTTTACAGAGGATGACCACCCTCTTCAAAAAGTGGTGACAAGCAGGTGTAGAAGAGGAAGTGCCTACAAAATTGCCTCGAATAGTAAAAAAGGCTGATAGGGGTTTTGCACAGAGGACTGCTCATATAAATAATGCAGTGCACTGCTGCCTTGCACATCGTGTGTATTTTAAGCAGTGCCACACGTGATGCGGGTAATGTTCGTGCTCGCTGCCTGCCTACGTGGATACACTGCTTTCTGCGGTTAGATACACGGAGGCACAAGATACCCGGGCCCAGCGACAGTGGCCCCCCTGGCGACTTTCCTACAAAAGGCACCGAGCAGGAGCCGTGTCAGGAAACGCCCAGAAGACAAACAGTCACGTTTGTGAGCTGCTCGCAGACCGTATCCCCTACATGAATGGGAATTAAAGTTTTTTCTTTTTCTACCCCTAAAACCCCTCCAGCCCTCGCACAGGCGAAAGCATTCCGCTGCTGTCCGGGACATGGAAACTCCGCAGCAGCTGGAGGCGCGGGAAGTACCGCAGCGCTCTGTCACCGGCCTGTCCCGCTCCCCCCGTGCCGCTCCGCGCCCTGCGGGCCCCGCTCCGCTCTCCCGCCCGGCCGCGGGGCCGCCCTCATCGCGTTAATCCGCGGGACAATGCTCCCGGTAACCACCCTGCTTTCGCCCCGGCTGAAAAGGGCCGGAGAGGGAAGGGAAGGGCAGAATGGGGAAAAAGGGGGGCAAAAAGTGTAAACTTTAATTCCACACGGTTAAAGAAACACGGGGGGGGGGGGGGGGAGCACCTGGAAACGGGTTTCCCGACATCCCGCCGAGGCGGGGAGAGCGCGCCTCCCTGCCCGGGAGAAGCGAGCTCCCCTCGGCTCCCCTGCAAACCTATCGCCGCCTGCCTCTGAATAAATACACGAGCACAAAAGCAGCCGCAGCGCCGTGTGACCGCGCACGGAGGAGCCTCCTGTGAAAACAGGCTGCTGCCAGGCCTCCGGAGAGGGGCGGAGGGGCTCAGTGGGGATCAGCGGGTCTACGCACCGCCCCGCGCAGGGCCGCGCACCGACGGGCCGAGACCGCGGCCGGGTCGGTGGCGCTGCCCTTTTGAATGCCTCCCGCAGCTCGGAGTGCTGGCAGGGCGCTGGGAGCGCCAGTGAATGTAGCCCCGCAGAGCCAATGAGCTGGGACCGGATGCGATATATCCTCTGGGACAACAACTGCTCTGTTCCTCCTCAGATCCACATGACGCCATTTACTGCTGCTTTTGCAGAGAGATCACCCTACCTCCTCCGGAAAGAAAAAGCGAGAGAGGGAGAGAGAGAGAGAGCAGAAAAACGCCGAACCCCTACAGCTCAGATCTCAAACCTTCCTCCTCCTCCTCCTCCACCTCCTCCAAACACACAACAACAACCACCACCACAAATCCGCTGCGCTCCCAAAACACCCCCCCCGATTGCAAACCACAGAGCTGCCTGCAACACACACACGCTCGCAGAGGGAGCGAGAAAGCTAGAGGGAGAGAGGGGAGAGGAGCTTGCAGCAAGCAGCTTCTCAGCAGAACGGCTACATTGCACAGGCTGCTTTTTTGGAGGAGCTCAGTGGAAGAAAGCTCTGGGATTTTATTTTAGATCCACTTTATTTTGTTTTCTTTGGCTTTGCCCTTCCTCTTGATCATTTGCAACAACAAACAAACAAAAAAAAAAAAGTGACTTGGTATTGGCGATTCGGCCTCCGGTTCATTGAGGAAAAAAAGAAAAGTGTGTGTGAGAGACTTTGAGTGATTTCTTTTTAGGAGCAAAGAAAACCCACCCTGATCCGGAGAGGTGTTTTTATTCTTATTATAGTATATACGCGCACACACGTATTTATAATCGATCTGGGAGAGGGACCTAACTTTGCTCTGGACTTTTTTACGTGGTGATCATTCTTACTTTAATTTGCAAGTTGGACTAAAGCAGAGTTTGGAAAAGAACTTTTTTTTTTGCTTTAGGGCTGGATTTATTTGCAAGCCGCAGGAAGAAGAAAATACAAGAGAGAGAGGGGTTTGGTGCGGCGCCGCGATCACGGTGAGAGCTTTTTCCTTCTTTGCAAAACAAGCTTTTCAGTAACCCCCCTCCAGCCCCCCTTAGTTGCTCCAAGAAAACTCGTGGAAATGTTTGAGGCTGATGCCTTTTCCATTCGTACAGGTTCTCCCTCTCGCCCCTTTCCCCTCTCCTTCCTTTCTCAGAGAGGAGCCGGAGGTGGGATTTCAGAGCGTTTTCGCTCTGAGGGGGTGGGGGGACCTCTGCTGGGGTTTACCGACTGAGCCTCCTTTGCGCCCCGCCGGGGTGCCTTGGGGGCGCGGGGGGCGGAAGGCTGTGCGGGCGCGCAGGCATGCCTACGGAGGCTGCGAGCGGGGCGGCGGGGGGGACCCAGAACACACGGGCCGGGACACGCAGACACACAGAGTTCCGCGTGCTCTCGGTGCTGCGGAAAGCGGGGCACGGGCGGTCCTCGCCGGGCACGCGTGGGTTTCCGACAAGCCCCGCGGGGAGGTGAAGGGAGGGCGCAGCTGGGTGGGCGAGCGCAGGGGCAGTTTGTGTGAGTGTGTGTGTGTGTCCCTTCGTCTTGGGGGAGAGCGAGCAACCCGCCTTTCAGTGCGTGATTTACGCCCGTCTGTAGTGGCGTCGGGAGATCCGTGCAATTCGGAAGTGAGTGCACGTCTGGTACAAACCTACGTGCGTGCATGTGTGTATACACATCTCTGTTTCTCGTGTGATGAAATTAATTCGATCCATCAGACGAGCAAAGCTCTTCTCGAGGTTCTGCCATGCAGAGGGCATATGTGGAGGAGACGGAAAGCTTCAATTTTTGCTTTTACTTCCCTCCCCCCCCCCTTAGGTGGGTTTACTTTGTAACACCCCCTTTACCCTCCCCCCCCCCCAAAAAAAAAAAATCTGCTGGTGTTTTCAGCAAGTTATTTGTGTGTCAGTTTGCCCCACCCCGATGGTAAAGTCCCTTTTGCCCTAATCCATAGTCTGATCACACACTCGGCCCCTTAATGGGGGTTTCAAAGCACTTTGAAAGAAGAGGAGGTGGTTGGTGTGTGTGTGCGGTGGTGATGGGGGTGGGGGTGCCTTGCACAGGCTCCGGACACAAAACAGAAATTCACGGGCAGAGGACTTCTCCCCCTTAGGCTCGCCTTCTCCCCGCCAGCCAGACACGGGATTTTTCCACAGCACGCAAGAAGCCCCTTGCGTTTTAAACTTCCCCGAATGTGCCGAACGCGAAACCCGGCCCCCTTGCTCGCCCTTTTGCCAATCCCAGCTAGGAAAAGTTAGCAATCATGGCACTTGAGCTCTGCGAGATTGGACTTTGGCTTTTAGAAGTGTGGAATCGTGTTATCGCACACACGCACACACAAAAAGGCGAATGCTGCTTCCCTGCTCTTGGTGGATGGAAAGGGGAGAAGTGCTAGATCAGAGAGAGGAGGAAGAGACGTGCTTTCCCGTAAGAGTTTTCAGGCAAACGTACTTTCTCAAATAAATGTGCTGGAGGTTTGCGTCTCGTCCTGTTAGCGGATCGATTAAGGGGTGAAAAAGGAGGGAGGATCGCCGGGCTCGGACCGATGTCCCGCTGGAAAGGCCCTTTTGGTCCCTTCGGGCCGGGGCAGAGGGGGATGGGCTGAAGGTCAGGCAATTTGCAGAATATGCGTAAAATAAGGGGAGGTTTTCCAGCGACTGGCTTTGTGAAGCTGAGTGGGTGCTTATGGCAAGGCGAGAGGGGGGTAATGTGCCTTTTGCCCGTCTGTCCCGGAGGTGTTGTCTCCAACCGTCTGCAGGGCTCCTGGCATTAGCCGGGAGGGGGAACAAGGCTTCTTTAGCATCTGTCGGGGGAGGGCAGGGGGGAAGAGTTAAAAGGAAACATGGGTTTGACGTTCCTGATAAGGCGGCCTCAGCAGCCCCCTCCCACCCCAGAGGATGTCTCCTGGTTATCTCCAAGTTGTCTGCACTTGCGGGACTGCCGGCGGCTCCCGCGGGCAAGGGGCTGCCGCCTCCCACCTGCCGCGCCGGGATGGAGCCGGGAGCTGGGCAGGGAGCTCAGCGCGGAGCCTTCTCCTCCGCCCCCCACCTTGGCGTCTGAGCCGGTGTCGTCTTAAGCGCCTGCAGGTCAGGGTCAGCTCCGTTCTTGCACTGGGTTGGCATTTCTGGAGAGGCTGGGTCTCATCCGGCGTGCCTTCTCGGCTGGCTGGGTCTGCCTAAAAGCTGGATGTGCAGGAGAGATAGGGCTGCTAGTTCATCTTAAGGGTGGGGAGAAGGTTTTATTTTCTGCCCTTTTCCTTTTTAAGATAGTTTTCCAGATGAGAAAATGTCTACTTAAACTGCTGGTTGAAACTTTTTATATGGCAAAGGTTTTAATATGAAGAAAACATCAGTAATAATTCAAGATAAGTTTGCAAGACTTTTTTTTTTTTTTGGGGGGGGGGGAGGGGGGTAGGGCACACACACCATGACATGCACTCCGCATGTCACCAGGATTTGGCAATATTTGAAATAGGCAGGCAGTCTTAAAAAATAGATTTTTTTTTTTTTTTAAGAAAAAGCTCTTGAGGGGAAGGAGCCAGGAATTAAAAGGTTAAACATTTTCCACTGATGCTAGAATAAAGACAGCATCTTGAAGTAGTCATTGTTAAACTGTTTGGCCATATTTTATTATACAACGGTATAGTATTATTGTTGGTAACTGATGTGTACAGAGTAACACTGTGGTGCTCTTTCTAAGTATAATTGAAGACGTTGTGTGGTCCTTGTAAGAAGCTTGGTTCCTGCTTGGGTTTTAATTGTAAAATATTGTTCTGGATTTTTGTCTAGGTAATTGGATTTTGGAACCACTTTAAGATATGATAAAGGCAAGGCAAATATTAAGAGATTTAGAGGGCAGTACTTGAAACTTTTGCATATCTGAGCATGGAAGTTAGTTATTTACAAGTGCTCATCTTCTGGGTCCTTTACTAGGTTTCCATTAAAATTCTTAAGTCTGCAATTCTACTTTGTAGTTAATGATCCTTTAAAGCACTATTCGAAATCAAGTAGACTTCTTAGATGATGGCATTGTTTGGTTATATTATGCATGCCTCTGTCCCAAAGGCCACTCTTGGTAATATTTACAATTTGAAATGTAGGCTATGGAATTTTTTACACATTAAAAAAAAAAAAAAACTGTGGTAGTATTGCTTTTGTAGTATTGAGCCTTAAAATAACAATCTCAGTGGTGTACACAAGTATGACACACACTAAAATACTGGAGAGAGATATTTTTACTTGTGCTGTTGAAGTTTTTGGTAGCACTAACTTATTTAAATGTCTAACCTCAAACATTTTATTGCTATTTAGTGTTTTTCTTGGGACCATCGGTATTAAACTAAAATTTCCTATTTACATCATGTAAAGTTTAATGTGTAAAAAGACTAGCCTACCAAAATATTATCCAGTTTTAAACAAAATTGGAGAATTATATGTCTGTCATCAGCAGGTCACATTACACTTGCTAAATACTTGAGGGCTTCTTTTTTTTTAATGTAAGTTTTTCAGTAGCATGATATGAAAAGAAGAGTCACTTGAAGTGGTTGAAATGTGATCACTCTAAAGGCCACGGTCTAACCAGAAGATGGCCTAGGAAGCCTTAGTTAGCAGGAGCGAGACCTAGACTTTCTAGAGCCATAAGTTAAGATACGTGGACCTAGAACAGAATCCCTTTAAGCTGTCCATAGGAGCAGGCAGGACAGGCCAAGGGAAGTGCATTCAGCTGGCAGACACTCTGCCCCAAATATGACTCTTTTTTTTAATGGCTGATGCATTACTTGATTGTGTGCAGTGCTGTGGGATCCTGCAGGCTTGAAAGCCTGCTGGAGAAAGCATGAAATGTGTTGCAATAGTGAACCCTCTCTTTGTTGCTACAGGAATTCAGATGTGTTCTAAGCCTGCCGGGGTGAGCACGCTTCTGGGCACTGATGGAGACAAGAGCTCAGCACAGCAGCGGGTCACAGGCCTTGCAACAGGCTCGGCGTGACAGTGGGAGACCACACGGGGAGCCCGACCAGCGGGATGTCCTGATGCAGCAGGTTCACGTCTTGTCATTGGACCAGATCAGAGCCATCCGAAACACAAATGAGTACACAGAGGGACCTACAGTGGCTCCACGGCCAGGGATCAAGTCCACTCCTCGGCTAGCAACCCAACCCAAAAATGAAAGGCCCCATGGCTTGCCTGAGCATCGCCATTTTAGCCGGATTCAGCACACACAAATACATGCCTCTCCTCGAGCGCCTCTGTCTCGTTCTGTCAGCACAGTCAGCACAGGTTCACGGAGCAGTACAAGGACAAGTACGAGCAGTAATTCATCCGAACAAAGACTTCTCGGGTCATCTCCAGGGCCAGCTGCTGATGGGATAGTCCGAATGCAGCCCAAGTCTGAGTTCAAGTCAAGTGAGCTGAAGCCGCTGAGCAAAGAAGACTTGGGAGCACACAGCTACAGGTGTGAGGACTGTGGAAAGTGTAAGTGTAAGGAGTGCACTTATCCAAGGACCCTCCCATCATGTTGGATCTGTGACAAGCAGTGTCTTTGCTCAGCCCAGAACGTGGTTGATTATGGGACTTGCGTTTGCTGTGTGAAGGGCCTCTTCTATCACTGCTCTAATGATGATGAGGACAACTGTGCTGACAACCCCTGCTCCTGCAGTCAGTCACATTGCTGCACTAGATGGTCCGCCATGGGTGTGGTGTCACTCTTTCTGCCTTGCTTGTGGTGTTACCTACCAGCCAAGGGTTGCCTTAAGTTGTGCCAGGGCTGTTATGACCGGGTAAATCGGCCGGGGTGCCGCTGTAAACGCTCCAACACCGTTTGCTGCAAAGTTCCCAGCGTCCCCCCCAGGAACTTCGAAAAGCCAACATAGCATCACTAGTCAGAAATACTAAAGTGACAAGGATTATTTTAAAGTACATATGCAACCAACTAAGCAGCTATGGTCTTGGCACTGTAGTAGAAGGGCTGGGGAATCTACTTTGCTGTTTGCAGTGAAATGCTTGCCTCTGTGTGCCATCTTAACTGATACGCTTGTTAGAATCCAGCTAGTGGCATACAGAAAAAAGAAAAAAAAAAGGGATGCAGTACATTGTGACCCACATATTGCATAAGCTAAAGCAACACAGACACTCCTAGGCAACTCTATTGTTTGTGAATAGTACTTCCAAAATTTGTAAATTGGCAAATGACTCCTTTTTTTCATTGTTTTCTGCCAGAGATAATGTGCTATATTTTTGTATATACAATAATATTTTCAACTGTGAAAAATAAGTGGTGTCATAAGACATGGCACAGTCACAAAATATTATACTAATATGTTGTACATTCGGAAGAATGTGAATCAATCAGTATGTTTTTAGATTGTATTTTGTCTTACAGAAACCTTCTATTACAAGACTCTGATTTCCCTTTGGACTTCATGTATATTGTACAGTTACAGTAAAATTCAGCCTTTATTTTCTAATTTTTTCAACATATTGTTTAGTGTAAAGAATATTTATTTGAAGTTTTATTATTTTATAAAAAGAAATATTTATTTTAAGAGGCATCTTACAAATGTCACCCCTTTTTATGAGGACGTCATAGTTGCTGCAAATAAGGGGTGGACGATGCATATGTTCACTATAAAATAGAAAATATATTAACGTTTGAAATTAAACTGGGCTACTTGTCATTTTTTCCCCCTATTTACTGTCCTGAGTTGGGAGAATTGGTGCTTCTAACTGCAGATTTCACAGGGATACAGTCACAGTGAGTCTAATACAAGAATGAAAGTAGAATTTTTAAATGTATTTTTTTGTGGTTGTTTGCTGCTTCACCTGAAAATAATGCGGGATTTTTTGCTTCCTTCCTTTGCACAAGTGTCCCATATACTGTTCCTACGATCGAAAAGGAAAATGAATATAGGAAAATGCATTAATTCATTCCAGACTAGGACTAATAGGCACTGAAAGCTTGACCTATTCTATAAGTGATGAGCTTTTGTGCTTCAAATAGGAAATAAGTAATCATTCACAAAAAATGTTAGGCTTGCATGGCTTTACTCAGAGAGAGAAAATAAAAAAAAAAAAAAGAAAATTAATACAGTCAGTGCAAAAATCTTGCAGGATTACTTGTTAAAGTAGAAGAATACGCCACAGTGAATGATAGAGCTGAACGCAGTCCAGCCTTATGTCAAACATTTGCCTCACTTGTAAGAAGAAAGTTGCTTGATTTGTCATTTGTGGCAGTTACCTTCCACTGAGGTCAAAATCCTTTCACTGCCAAGTTTCCCACCGGAAGCCTAGAGAATGATTTACCTTTCTTTATTAACAAACTATCATTTCCTGTTCTGAGCATGTCTCTCCAAATTTAGAGCTCTTAATGTTGAATTTTATTTATATGTTTCTTAAGCTGGTATTTAAGAAATGGTTGTATTTTTATGCTGACGCTCAGAAAAATCTCACAGCCTTTTCTGAACCCTCTCCAACAAAAACAAGTTATAACTAATAAATTAAGAATTCACTAAAAGTTGAAAACCAGAGCATTGAGTAAATGTTACATCTTTTTGCCCCTTGATTTTCATCTTTGATCTGGTGCTTGGGCTATTTTACATAGGCCTGTAGTGCTCGTAAATCTAACGCTGTTTGTGTGTATTGGTTATCAGTTGTCAAGTGAAATTAAAAAATGCAAGTCCTGACTAGTTTGCAAAACAAAAAATAGTTGATGCATGGGCCTTGTTCTCATTCTTTTTTTTTTTTTCCCTTTGCTTTTTGCACCAGTTGGCTGAATACCTTGTTATACAAAGACGAGCAGTATATATTTAGCCTCCTGAGTGGAGTTTGCCAGGAAGAAGGTGGCTTTATGTTACATGAGTAATTTGTCTGTATTTAAAGCACATCTGTATATTGCAACTGAGTGCTGAAGCATATATGTGAGATTGTACTTGGCTGCTGATAAACAGACTTTTATTACTTTTTTTTAGAAATTCTGTTCCTGGAGGAGTTAGTAGCCATTATGTGCTTCCATTCACTGAATGTAATTCTTGAATTAGATTGGGTACTTATGCCAAAACTGTCCAGGGTTAATCTTACTGATTGAAAACAAACATGGGCATAATCCATTTATTGGGGGGATCTTTGATCTTTACACTGAAAACCCCAAAACCCACTGATATCAGTAGACATTAAATCCAGTATTTTCATTGCATGGATGAACTTGACAATACTGAAGGTGAGCCCTGTCTTTTCAGTGATTTATGTTTTGGTCAAGGCAGATATCTCTAAGGAAGGCTGAAGGTGAAAGTCGAAAACCGTCATGTACCTACTAGATAAAATCCCCAGTACTAAAGATGTGTTTTGCTTTGCACTGTAGCAAATGCTTTGACAACCTAGGTAAGTTCTAAGGAAAAAGGAAAACCATCTTCTTGTTGATAGTGAAATCTGAAGATGATCTTAACATTAAACACTGGTCCTCACCTTCTACTTGGTTCTTAACAAGGTTAAATAATGGATCTTCCCCACCCCAGGTAAGCTCACTACCAGTGAATTGGGTTGTACGTATGACTTGCGAACGAGGACATGCAGGAGGATGCCGTTAGGAACAGACTGTTGAGCTAACTACAGTGCTGGGGTCTTGGCATCAGTTGGTATGAATTAGTGTGTGCATGTGCAGTGGACTCTTAAAAGTTGGCTTGTTTATGTCAGTTACCATTCTAATACAAAACTCAGTTAGATAAGGTTTACTATTCTAAATAAAATCAAAATCTTGCCTCAAACAGATTAGATCGTTTTAGTAAGAATTAAGAGGGCTTTTTAAGTGGATTGAGGTAATGTTATTAAAGCATGCCTACTTTGTCCTTCGAGATAGGAAAGTGCAGGTCCAAGAAAGGAAAATTTTCCATACACAGGTTTTGAGGATAACCGTGAAAGTCATGCCAGATACATACCATACAGGACTCTGATTTTAGACAGCTACTAAGCCATGAGAAAGGGGAAAACCTGTTTTATTGCTGTATTTGTTGTGTTGCTTTAGTGTTTTGATCTGTTAACCTCTGATAAATTCTGAAGTCCCTGTAAGTTTGCTTAAATACCTGCAGGATTGGACTGACAGTTCACTGTAGAAACAGTGCAAACACATAGCTTTTTTCAAATATTTTTTCAGTATGACGCGAGCTACAAATATGTACATCAAATTTCCTTGTACGGTAACTTAAAATGGTCTATTAATATCCTCCAGCAAATTTTTTATTTTGCTCTTTGTGACAGTGATCACAGGGCTAAAAAAAAAAAAAAAAGAAAAAAGGAAACTTAGATTCAAGTGAAGAATAAAACGGCACAGTACTTTAGATGAAAATCAAATGTGTTCTTGAAGGATTGAAGATCATATTCAGGTGAGAATTTATACATTCAAGTGAGTTACCAAATTAGTTTTCACAAACCAAAATTTTCCAAATGAGGAAGTGCAGCAGTTAAGGGGTCATGATGACTAACAAGATAGGTTTTTTGCACTTTCTTACAAAGCATGTGTGAGGTGGAAGTGACTTGACAGTAGTGAAGTACAGATCATTTATGAACCATGCTTTTTTTTTTTTTTAATCTAATCTACAATATTACCGGTATTACCTTTTTCACTTTTGACAAAATATAAACCAATTCATTTCATGATGAGTGAAATCTTAAGGCATATTCTTAGATGGCAGGGAGAGAATAGAATGCATTTCTGTACTGCAGTAGAACATTCAGTTGTGTTTAAGAATTAACTGTTGGGGAAGACGGATTTGAACAGTCTGTCTCAGATGTTCTTAGATGTGTGCAGGTACAGCAAGTAAGAATGATTTCACTTGCTGAGACTAATTTCTCAATCAGTCATTGGAGCAGAGCAGAGATCCAGAAAAAGTTTGGGTGAATGTGAGAGCACGCTTGACTGAGTAATGTCTGTATGAATAGTATTGGATAGATTCCTTACTGAAAATGTCAGCAATGTATTGGCTCATCTTAAATCAATTACAGGTTGGGTTTGCAGATAGACTACATTGTGACAAAGTACAACAAATCCCTACCAATGAAAACACTCAGTTTTGTTCCTGTTTACCCAATCTGATTTTAAACTGGAAATATAGAATCAGAATAACTGATGTCTCATTGAACTCAGGACAGTTTGACGTGAAAACTGTGCATATACAGATATAGTTCATATATATAGTTATTTTTCTTTCAAAAATGTTGTCCATTTCAATCTGAGGACCCCATTATGCTGTAGTCTTACCTATTTTTCTTCATATTTCTTCTTTCTGGTCCCTCTCCCTCCCCTTGACCTTTCCTGGCCATAATACATAAAGTTTATTGCCAATTACTAGGACAAAAGGTGAAAGAGGAGGATGAAACATGCTTTTCTTATTAGTTTTGTCTCTGAAAGTTTAAGAAAAGGTAGGAAAAATTATTACCTTGCTGTACTTAACCTGCATTTTAGAGAGAGACAAAGTGGTTTTCAATTCATGTGACCTTGAAATCCACAGTTCCAGAAAACACCTTACTTTCATTTCTTTAGTGTGATCTTTATTACCTGAAAGGGCTTTATGTCTCTAAAGAGTTTTGCTTTGTTTTAACCTATTGGAGCTGTATTTCAGGTGGCAGAGAAGGAGGTCTTGTTACTGTAAAGGCATAATCTGCTGTTCCTCTGTCACAGGGGTTGTTCAGAAGATAGCTGATGCAGTTACCTTTGGGCATGGATAGAAACAATTTCCCTTGAAACAGGGTAGGCGCTCAGCATTTTCAACCTTGGGAAAAGGCGACAGTTGTACAATGTATCAAAAGTTTCTCTTTGCCTGCGCTGTAGGAAAGTTGTTTTTCTCTGACTCAAGAGTCTGCATGCTGGTTAGAGAAGCTTATGGCTAAAACGTTCAAACTTCTAGACTAAGATAGATCCATTCCCATTTCAGTAGAAGTTACCAATAATCAGGAGCTTTGACAGCATAGCCTTCTATTACATAGAATTATTTATGGATATTTTAATACTTAGGAGTTCAATTTACAGTTTAAAATGCTCTTGCCAAGGGAGATAATCTGCCTTAAAAAATGTATAAAACTGTAATCAGAGGAGCTGTACTTTCCTCAAAGCCTGCTGCATAATTACAAAACCACTTGGTGCACCTGAGATACGTTACAAGAGAAGGCACTTGATGCAAATCAGATGATGTAGGTGCAAGTTTAACTTGGAGAATCTGAGCCTGGTGTATTAGGATGAATCACCAACTTATGGATTTATGGACACCTAGAGAGCACCTTGAACAAAGTGGGGGACTTAAATTTGTTTTTTTCCCTCTAATTTTATTTTGATCAAGAAACAGAGTATATGAGCCAACCATGCGATTGCCAGTGCGATTGCTGGTAAAAGAATATCTTGATGCTCTTTCAGTGTCTCAAAAAAGCACAGCAAAATGGAAAATTTCTAAATGACCATTCAAAATTAACATCTTCATCTTCATAATTCATCTTCAGAAATGAAGTAAAACATTAGGGCAGTAGAAGTTTCAAAATGAGTTTTTCTGTCAGAAAAAATGCACTAATTGGTTAACTTAAAACTGTTTCTTTAATTAGCAACAGATTCACGTTAGGTCTAAAAATCAATTCAGACCTTTCAGCTTCCGCTCTAGTGCAGTTTTTATCAGTTTCTGATTTC